TCCAGATGGGATAGGGCAGTGTGCAGTGTGATTGCGATTGCATCGTATGTGGATCTATTGGGGCGGTAAGCAAATTGAAGTGGGTCTAGGGTGACAGGTAAGGTAGAGGTGATATGATCCTTAACTAGTCTCTCAAAGAACTTCATGATGACAGAGGTGAGTGCTACAGGGCGATAGTCATTTATTTCAGTTACCTTTGCTTTCTTGGGTACAGGAACAATGGTGGCCACCTTGAAGCATGTGGGAACAGCAGACTGGGAAAGGGAGAGATTGAATATGTCAATAAACACACCAGCAAGCTGGTCTGCGCATGCTCTGAGGACGCGGCTAAGGATGCCGTCTGGGCCGGCAGCCTTGCGGGGGTTAACATGCTTAAATGTCTTAATCACGTCGGCCACGGAGAAGGAGAGGCCACAGTCCTTGTTAGTGGGCCTCGTCAGTGGCACTGTGTTATCCTCACATGTCGGTGTCGGCGATGTGGCTGGTTTTCCTTTTGTAGTCCGTGATTGTCTGTAGACCCTACCACATACGTCTCGTGTCTGAGCCGTTGAATTGCGACTCCACTTTGTCTTTATACTGATATTTTGCCAGTTTAATTGCCTTGCAGAGTGAGTAGCTACACTGCTTGTATTCTGCCATATTCCCAGTCACCTCGCCATGGTTCGCGCTTTCAGATTTGCGCGAATGCTGCCATCTATCCACGGTTTCTGGTTAGGGTAGGTTTTAATAGTCACAGTGGGCATAACATCACCTATACAGTTCCTGATAAACTCAGTCACCGTTTCAGTGTATTCGTCTAAATTATTTTCGGAAGCTACCCGGAACATATCCCAGTCCGCGTGATCAAAACAATCTTGAAGCCTGTATTCCGATTGGTCAGACCAGCGTTGAATAGTCCTTAGCACGGGTATTTCCTGTTTGAGTTTCTGCCTATAGGAAGGGAGGAGCAAAATGGAGTCATGGTCAAATTTGCCGAAAGGAGGGCGGGGGAGGGCCTCATAACCATCCCGGAAGTTCGAATAGCAATGGTCGAGGATTTTGGCAGCGCGAGTACAACACTCGATATGTTGATAGAACTTCGGCAGCCTAGTCCTCAAATTTGCTTTGTTAAAATTCCCGGCTACAATAAATGCAGCCTCAGGATATGTGGTTTCCAGTTTGCATAAAGTCCAGTGAAGTTCTTTGAGGGCCGTCATGGTATCGGCTTGAGGGGGGATATACACGGCTGTGACTATAACCAAATAAAATTATCTTGGGAGATAATACGGTCGACATTTGATTGTGAAATATTCTAGATCGGGTGAACAAAAGGACTCGTTCCTGTATGTTACTACAATTACACCATGAGTCGTTAATCATGAAACACACACCTCTGCCCTTCGGCTTCCCAGAGAGATATTTATTCCTGTCTGCGCGATGAACTGAGAACCCATCTGGCTGGACCGATTTCGACAGAATATCCCAAGAGAGCCATGTTTCTGTGAAACAAAGTATGTTACAGGCCTTGATGACACTCTGGAAAGAAATCCTTGCCCGGAGTTCATCGACCTTGTTAACCAGAGACTGAACATTAGCGAGTAGTATACTTGGAAGCGGTGGGTGGTGTGCGCGCCTCCTAAGTCGAACCAGTAGGCCGCTCCAAGTTCCTCTCCTCCGCCGGCGATGTTTTGTGTCAGCCGCTGGAATCAGTTCAGTTGCCCTGGGGAGAGCAAACAAAGGATCTGCTTCGGGAAAGTTGTATACAGGGACATTCTTGAGGGAAACCTGTGTCAGTCTTCCAGAGATTTGAGACTGGGACGGAGGTTTACCTTCCAGCAGGACAATGACCCTAAGCATACTGCTAAAGCAACACTCAAGTGGTTTAAGGGGAAACATTTAAATGCCTTGGAATGGCCTAGTCAAAGCCCTCAATCCAATTGAGAATCGGTGGTAAGGCTTAAAGATTGCTGTACACCAGCGGAACCCATCCAACTTGAAGGAGCTGGAGCAGTTTTGCCTTGAAGAATGGGAAGAAATCCCAGTGGCTAGATGTGCCAAGCTTATAGAGACATACGCCAAGAGACTTGCAGCTGTACAGTCGTGGTCAAAAGTTTTGAGAATGACACAAGTATTGGTCTTCACAAAGTTCGCTGCTTCAGTGTTATGAGATATTTTTGTCAGATGTTACTATGTATACCAAGTATACTGTAATTACAAGCATTCCATAAGTGTCAAAGGCTTTTATTGACAATTATATTAAGTTTATGCAAAGAGTCAATATTTGCAGTGTTGATCCTTCTTTTTCAAGACCTCTGCAATCTGCCCTGGCATGCTGTCAATTAACTTCTGGGCCACATCCTGACTGATGGAAGCCCATTCTTGCATAATCAATGCTTGGAGCTTGTCAGAATTTGTGGGGTTTTGTTTGTCCACCCGCCTCTTGAGGATTGACCACAAGTTCTCAATGGGAATAAGGTCTGGGGAGTTTCCTGGCCATGGAGCCAAAATTCTGATGTTTTGTTCCCCGAGCCACTTAGTTATCACTTTTGCCTTATGGCAAGGTGCTCCATCATGCTGGAAAAGGCATTGGTCATCACCAAACTGTTCTTGGATGGTTGGGAGAAGTTGCTCTCGGAGGATGTGTTGGTACCATTCTTTATTCATGGCTGTGTTCTTAGGCAAAATTGTGAGTGAGCCCACTCCCTTGGCTGAGAAGCAACCCCACACATGAATGGTCTCAGGATGCTTTACTGTTGGCATGACACAGGACTGATGGTAGCGCTCACCTTGTCTTCTCCGGACAAGGTGATTTCCGGATGCCCTAAACAATCGGAAAGGGGATTCATCAGAGAAAATGACTTTACCCCAGTCCTCAGCAGTCCAATCCCTGTACCTTTTGCAGAATATCAGTCTGTCCCTGATGTTTTTCCTGGTGAGAAGTGGCTTCTTTGCTGCCCTTCTTGACACCAGGCCATCCTCCAAAAGTCTTCGCCTCACTGTGCGTGCAGATGCACCCACACCTGCCTGCTGCCATTCCTGAGCAAGCTCTGCACTGGTGGTGCCCCGATCCCGCAGCTGAATCAACTTTAGGAGACATCCTGGCGCTGGCTGGACTTTCTTGGACGCCCTGACGCCTACTTCACAATAATTTAACCTCTCTCCTTGAAGTTCTTGATGATCCGATAAATGGTTGATTTAAGTGCAATCTTACTATCAGCAATATCCTTGCCTTTGAATCCCTTTTTGTGCAAAGCAATGATTACGGCACGTGTTTCCTTGCAGGTAACCATGGTTAACAGAGGAAGAACAATGATTTCAAGCACCACCCTCCTTTTAAAGCTTCCAGTCTGTTATTTTAACTCAATCAGCATGACAGAGTGATCTCCAGCCTTGTCCTCGTCAACACTTTCACCTGTGTTAACGAGAGAATCACTGACATGATGGCAGCTGGTCCTTTTGTGGCAGGGCTGAAAAGCAGTGGAAATGTTTTTTTGGGATTAAGTTCATTTTCATGGCTAAGAGGGACTTTGCAATTAATTGCAATTCATCTGATCACTCTTCATGACATTCTGGAGTATATGCAAATTGCCATCATCAAAACTGATGCAGCAGACTTTGTGAAAATTATTATTTGTGTCATTTTCAAAACTTTTGACCACGACTGTAATTGCTGCAAAAGGTGGCTCTACAAAGTATTGACTTTGGGGGGGGGGGGGGGGGGGTGAATAGTTATGCATGCTCAAGTTTTCTGTTTTTTTGTTTGTTTCACAATAAAACATATTTTCCATCTTCAAAGTGGTAGGCATGTTGTGTAAATCAAATGATACAAACCCCCCAAAAATCAATTTTAATTCCAAGTTGTAAGGCAACAAAATAGGAAAAATGCTAAGGGGGGTGAATACTTTCGCAAGCCACTGTATAGTATCATGTGTGTCACTCTCTGTCCAGCTCTACTTATCATATTTCCTTTGGTGTTATTAGTGAATTTGTTTGTGAAGAAAGTGGAACGCTCATGTTGAGTTGTGTGGGGCTTCTCTCTGCTCACAGAAAGAGACAGAAGCCAAACGAGGATCATGTCGACCGGAAGTCAAGGAAAAGGAAGGGGAGGTGGAGTGGCTGAGGGGAGCTATGATGTTGTTTTTCAACAGATAGGCTTCTGTAGATAATCAAGGTCAGAGAGAGAGAGGGAGTGGTGGTGGTGTTGTTTGAAGTGAACTTAATCTGCCATAACTCTATCTGTACACATGTTGTACTGCATTGAATCTGTTATCTCCATCTTATTAGCTTTCTAAAGTAATAGCACCCCTTTAATTAGATTAGATTGATTTGATTAGATCAACTTTATTATCCCACCGGGTATACATTTTTTAGGTCATTTGCTTAAAAAACAAAATATATAATACATAAAAACACAGAATAATACACAATACATTTTATATGAAAGTACAATAGGCTGCATATTTACAGTGAAAATTCAATACATATTTACTGTACACACCTGTCAACTAGTCAAGAGTCCAATTATACTATCCATAGACTATCCATTGTACAGCCTACTGGCTGTTGGAATTAAAGAGTCCCTATATCTATTTGTCCTGAGCTTCTTTTAAAGAAGTATTCTTCCCCTAGTCAGGCTATGACTGCTATGACTGAATTTTGGGTGAAGGGGATGTGTACTGTCCTGTAAAATGTTGTCAAGTTTTTGGAGGATGAGTTTTGTGGACAGGCTGGTAGCAGCTGATTCTTGGTCCATACTATCAATGATCCTTCCCACCGTCTTGATCAGGCGCTGAAGCTTGGCCTTGCGCTCACATGTTTCCAAACACATATCAGACCAAAGGACAGCACATTCTGCAGGACATACTGTATTTGTAGTAGTAGTAGTAGAAGTAGAAAACTGGATTATCTTGAGGCTAATTGGTTTTGCAGAATGATATCTATAAATAAACAGACATAGTTTGCAGCACGGCTGCCCTGGAGTTCAGCTATATGTGAAGCCGTTTTTTTTTCAATCTTTCCAGCTTTACCAAGACCCCAGTAGCTCTCCTGTATCTGAAGACCTGCCGAGCGTCAACATTGACCCGCTGTGTGATTTTGGGACAGTGAAGAGATCTTACACTCATTTCAAGGAGCAATTGGAATGCTTCTGCGATGGAGGAATGAAGAGGATATCGAACACAGGTAGAATTTCAGAGGTTCCCCACTGGGCACAGTCAATTCAATGTCTATTCCACGTTGGTTCAACGTAATTTCATTAAAATGACATGGAAACAACGTTGATTCAACCAGTGTGTGCCCAGAGGGTCATGTCTTATTCATGAAAACAAGAGTCACACAGACTAAGACTGCATATGAGATGTGAATTAGGTTACTGTATATCTTTTGAAAACCCTTGAATTGGGAGTCCATGGGAGTGGGTATTAAAAGCTTGTAAGAAATGTATCGGTGTCCATTTCCACAGTAAAAGCCATCCATATGCTTCAGTCACCAAAGCCCAGCCAATGTAAGTGTGTTTATAATCTCAGCATGCAGAATTTTTCCAGAAGAAAAAACACAAAATACAGTAGCCTATGTGAGCTAAAATGTTTGTGCAATTATTTTTGTTTCAGCACCAAAGACAGTTGGTCAAGCCAATGGGAGCCCACCAGCCTTCAAGCCCGCCCTGGTAACAGGGGAACCTGCAGTAACTTGCGATACTCCCCCTTCTCTCTGTACAAAGTCCTTTATCTTGAAGGGCTCTTCCATGAGCAAACCTCCAACTGGCAAAGCGATCCTATTCACCAAAAAGGGCCATCAAATGTCACTAAACCTGCTGCTAGCGGTGAGGCCCTCATCACCAAACCCTTGTCCACCACTGACAACCTTTTCTTGACCAAATCTGCATCTGGAGCTGGTATAGCGGTCCTTCACACCACACCTGCTACTACAAGTAGCAGCCTTTCCAATTGGCCTGTCGGTGTTTGTGGTAAGCCAGCAGTTGACATGGATGATTTTTGTAAGGCTGCATTGAACAGGTTTCTCCTTTGGCAAACCTAAATCTAACACAAGCTCACCCCTCTTTAGCAAGCCTGAATCTAACACAGGTTTCTTATTTGGCAAGCCTAAATCTAACACAGGTTCACCCCTCTTTGGCAAGCCTGAATTTAACACAGGTTTCTTATTTGGCAAGCCTGAATCTAACACAGGTTCACCCCTCTTTGGCAAGCCTGAATTTAACACAGGTTCATCCCTCTTTGGCAAGCCTGAATCTAACACAGGTTCATCCCTCTTTGGCTTGCCTGAATCTAACACAGGTTTCTCCTTTAGCAAGATTGCATTTAATACAGGTCTTTCTTTTGGCAAGCCTGAATCTAACACAGGATTCTCATTTGGCAAGCCTGAATCTAACACAGGTGCATCCCTCTTTGGCAAGCCTGAAATCTAAAACAGGTTCATCCCTCTTTGGCAAGCCTGAATCTAACACAGGTTCATCCCTCTTTGGCGAACCTGAATCTAACACAGGTTTCTCCTTTAGCAAGCTTGCATTTAATACAGGTATTTCCTTTGGCAAGCCTGAATCTAACACAGGATTCTCATTTGGCAAGCCTGAATCTAACACAGGTTTATCCCTCTTTGGCAAGCCTGAATCTAAAACAGGATTCTCCTTTGGCAAGCCTGCAGACCAGCCTGGTGTCGTGGAGATTTATAGTTTAGCAAACTAAACGAAACATTCTCCTCTCAATTAAGAAATGCTATTATCAAGGTTACACATCATGGGATTACACTAGAAATTGTAAATAAATAATACACTGATAATGTAAATGCTTATAAGGTTACCCATGTTAATATACAGGGCAACCTCAGAGGCTGCTGCCCTATATACATAGACTTGAAATCACTGGCCACTTTAATAATGGAACATTAGTCACTTTAATAATGTTTACATATTTTTGCTTTACTCATCTCATATGTATATACTGTGTTCTATTCTTTTAGTCTATGCCACTCCGACATTGCTCGTCCTAATATTTATATATTTCTTAATTCCATACTTTTACTTTTAGATTGTGTGTATTATGTGTATTGTTGTGAATTGTTAGATATTACTGCACTGTTGGAGCTAGAAACACAAGCATTTCGCTACACCCACAATAACATCTGCTAACCGTGTGTGACCAATAAAATGCGATTTGATTTGATTTAATTTATGAGTGTATTTTGATTTGTTATGGGAGTGCCGATACAATGATGGATTTGATATTCTTTGTACTGAATTAAATTGATTTCTTTCACTGATTTAAAAACCGTAATATAGCCATGGTAATTTACCAATTTGCCGCCAGAAGATGGCGCTCAAACAACAGTCTCACTCTTATGCGGTCCCTAACTTCATGTGGTGTGTTTAAAAAAAGATGTATTTTGACCTCAATGGGACAATCGGTTAAATAAATGTTTTAAGAATGTGACAACTTGATATTATGTTGGTGCAATTGTAGTTTCTTATATATTGTTTCTGTATTTACCATATGTACAGTATGTACATAGCGCTTAACACATGGATCTTACATAACCATTTGTATGTATTTGTTTGGTGTGTATATGTTGTATGTTGTTGTTTTTCATACTCTGACTGCATACATTTCCCAAATGGGACAATATAGACATTGATTGAGTGGGATTGTAACCAAAACAACAGGCAGATACTGTACATTTACCACATACTTTAATCTGAGAGTTCAGGTTAAAATAATACACTTTGATGGAAAAGCTTACATAAAGTTACCCTCTGCTACATAATATAGATATATTCATCATTTTTAAAGCATTTACTGTTTAAAGCATTTACTGTTTAGCATTTACTATATCTTATCAGAAATGATTACACTGTTACACTGTACACTCACACTGCATACACACACACAGTATAACTGTTACAAACTCTCTCACACACCATAAAACGCATACCCACAGGCAGCATACAGAGAAAATATTCTAGAACCCTTAGAAAACCCTTAGGTGCATGCAATACGCAGTATTTCTGTAAGCAAACAGCCCCTTCATGTCTACGATACAAACCACTTATTTATTCATAAAACGTTCTCTTCAATGTCCTCCTTGGACCACAGGTTCCTGTCTACTGGTGGTTGGTTACTATTAAACACTGTCCACATATAGGACGTTTCAAACACAGAGCAGGACATACCAGGGAATGGTAACAATGACGCTATTCACATCACATCCGCATTTCACAGTACAATTAATATCTCAAACATCAGGAAAATGCTGAGGACTCATGATAAACACCAGTCCTCCTTGGAGATGACTGACAATGCCAACAGTGCAAACATCGACACAGAGGGCCAGTCTGGGGCAGCTCTTCATTCAGGTAAGACAACACAACAACCCCATACTGTACAGACACAGATGCCCTTGTGTGTGTTATGTTGAATACATACGCATGTACTTATTCTTACCCAACAAGGTGTGATCTGACTTGGAAACCTGTAAAATGTGTTGATTTCAGGAACTGCCAGTGCTGGGAGGATGCTTCGGAATGCTGTGTGTTATACAAGTGACTCTCAATGTTTCCCTACCTGTCTACTGTGAGTTTATTAATCATAACCTCAGCAGAAACAAAGTAAAACATTTTCAGAAATACACTGCTCAAAAAAATAAAGGGAACACTTAAACAACACATCCTAGATCTGAATGAATGAAATAATCTTATTAAATACTTTTTTCTTTACATAGTTGAATGTGCTGACAACAAAATCACACAAAAATTATCAATGGAAATCAAATGTATCAACCCATGGAGGTCTGGATTTGGAGTCACCCTCAAAATTAAAGTGGAAAACCACACTACAGGCTGATCCAACTTTGATGTAATGTCCTTAAAACAAGTCAAAATGAGGCTCAGTAGTGTGTGTGGCCTCCACGTGCCTGTATGACCTCCCTACAACGCCTGGGCATGCTCCTGATGAGGTGGTGGATGGTCTCCTGAGGGATCTCCTCCCAGACCTGGACTAAAGCATCCGCCAACTCCTGGACAGTCTGTGGTGCAACGTGGCGTTGGTGGATGGAGCGAGACATGATGTCCCAGATGTGCTCAATTGGATTCAGGTCTGGGGAACGGGCGGGTCAGTCCATAGCATCAATGCCTTCCTCTTGCAGGAACTGCTGACACACTCCAGCCACATGAGGTCTAGCATTGTCTTGCATTAGGAGGAACCCAGGGCCGACCGCACCAGCATATGGTCTCACAAGGGGTCTGAGGATCTCATCTCTGTACCTAATGGCAGTCAGGCTACCTCTGGCGAGCACATGGAGGGCTGTGCGGCCCCCCAAAGAAATGCCACCCCACACCATGACTGACCCACCGCCAAACCGGTCATGCAGGATGTTGCAGGCAGCAGAACATTCTCCATGGCGTCTCCAGACTCTGTCACGTCTGTCACATGTGCTCAGTGTGAACCTGCTTTCATCTGTGAAGAGCACAGGGCGCAGTGGCGAATTTGCCAATCTTGGTGTTCTCTGGCAAATGCCAAACGTCCTGCACGGTGATGGGCTGTAAGCACAACCCCCACCTGTGGACGTCGGGCCCTCATACCACCCTCATGGAGTCTGTTTCTGACCGTTTGAGCAGACACATGCACATTTGTGGCCTGCTGGAGGTCATTTTGCAGGGCTCTGGCAGTGCTCCTCCTGCTCCTACTTGCACAAAGGCGGAGGTAGCGGTCCTGCTGCTGGGTTGTTGCCCTCCTACGGTCTCCTCCACGTCTCCTGATGTACTGGCCTGTCTCCTAGTAGCGCCTCCATGCTCTGGACACTACGCTGACAGACACAGCAAACCTTCTTGCCACAGCTCGCATTGATGTGCCATCCTGGATGAGCTGCACTACCTGAGCCACTTGTGTGGGTTGTAGACGCCGTCTCATGCTACCACTAGAGTGAAAGCACCGCCAGCATTCAAAATTGACCAGAACATCAGCCAGGAAGCATAGGAACTGAGAAGTGGTCTGTGGTCACCACCTGCAGAACCACTTCTTTATTGGGGGTGTCTTGCTAATTGCCTATAATTTCCACCTGTTGTCTATTCCATTTGCACAACAGCATGTGAAATGTATTGTCAATCAGTGTTGCTTCCTAAGTGGACAGTTTGATTTCACAGAAGTGTGATTGACTTGGAGTTACATTGTGTTGTTTAAGTGTTCCCTTTATTTTTTTGAGCAGTGTATAATCCTGGTAGCAATGACCTTTATTAATAATCTATTACAAATGCCTGTAATGCTAATTTATGTTTAAATGCTGGAATATTCACTAATTGTTCATTCACATTTTATAAACAGTGTGGCAATGGCCTATTATTTGGTCATTATAAAGTGTTACCCTTTTAAAAAATAGTGCCACCACTGACAGTGTTGGGGAGTAGTTCCGCTACAAGTTATTCAACTAGTAATTGTACTACATTTTGCAGTAGCTTGGTGCTAGTTTAACTAAATTCAAATCGTTATGTTTTCATGGTTAATAACCTTTTTTTACCCACAATTCTTTTAGCATTTTTTTTTTTTTTTTTGCACAAGCATTCTGTTAAAGTAACATCTGACTCCAGATTGATCTGTTTTTACAGTCATGTTCCATAACTTTGTATTGAATGACATTTCAGATTTATAGATAATTTTTCACGAGACAGTTTTGAAAAGTAACTTTAGATATCGGTAAACAAACTATATTACTTTTAAGGGTAGCATTGTTGTAGCTCAACTTCTTCCAGTGTGAAGTAATTGGTAGCTTGGTAAACTATATTTTCAGAGTAGCTTCCCCAACACTAACCACTGACAAAAGAAAACTACCACAAGCGCATGTGGTCTAAACACTACAGATGGACTAAGTGTTCCACTGAGCTTGTGGCTGGGTACAGTTTTCACCCCCTTTTTACCCTAACCAAAACGTATCTCTTCTTCAAGTCTACAGTTACGGAGAAAGCAAACCACCACAGATCTCTTACAACAACCTTACCAATGGTATGACTGTCGTGTATTGATGTTGCGTACTGATATATGACGTCACCACGTCAGTAAAGGAATGCGGGGCTTGTTACACGGACAGTGATAGAGTAAAGACATGTTGAAGTTTACCTCCGAGTCTGGTTGATTCAATTCAGTATAACATCCTAACTTAGCACAATTTGTAAGTATAGGATTGAACAATGACAACATGTCGCAACCTGACTAAAACTAGATTGTTAGAGTCTTTCTCATTCACTCTGTTACAGGTCAAAACACTCTCAGTTCAGGTTAGTATTTGTTGCGTGTAAATTCATCTATGAATGATCCCTGTTCTAATGTGTTCTCTGACAGGGCCAACCTGTACCCAGGAATGGTGGACGATGGATTCCAGCTCTTACTTTATTTCCATTGAGCAGAAGTCCTGGAGAGCCAGCAGACAGAGCTGCCTAGAGAAAGGAGCTGCCCTTGTGATCATCAACAGCAGATAGGAACAGGTGAAAGACTTGGTCATAGATGGAAATTAAATGAGAGCTGGGCCCATATTTACAGTGCCTGGTGAAAGTCTACACACCCCTTGCACAGCTGTCAAATTATGCTGCCTTAAAATTATATATATATTTTTTTTACAAAAACAATGGATATACACTGAGTGCACAAAACATTAGGAACAACTGCCTAATATTGAGTTGCACCCGCTTTTGCCCTCAGAACAGACTTAATTTGTCAGGGCATGGACAATACAAGGTGTCGAAAGCCTTCCACAGGGATTCTGACCCATGTTGACTCCAATGCCTCCCACAGTTGTGTCAAGTTGGCTGGATGTCCTTTGGGTGGTGGATAATTCTTTATACACAGGGGAAACTGTTGAGCCTAAAAAACCCAGCAGGGTTGCAGTTCTTGACACACTCCAACCAGTGCACCTAGCACCTACTACCATACACCGTTCAAAGGCACATAAATATTTTGTCTTCTGTTCACCCTCTGAATGGCACACATACACAATCCATGTCTCAATTGTCTCAAAGCTTAAAAATCCTTCTTTAACCTGTCTCCTCCCCTTCAAATACACTGATTGAAGTGGATTTAACAAATGACATCAATAAGGGATCATAGCTTTCACCTGGATTCACCTGGTCTGCTGTCATCCTAATGTTTTGTACACTCAGTGTAAGTACAATGCTCTATCCAAATTTACTTTCAGCTCTGCTGAAATCATGAGTGATCATACATTTCTTTTTATTTTAATGGGCACGATGAGGTCACAGATTTGGGGATAAAGGCCAAATTGTCAGCAGAGAATATCATTAACCCTATCAGTCCCGAGACCCCAGCAAAATTCTGATTTTCATTTATCTGACTTTCATTTATCTGCATGTCCAGCTCTTATATTTAGCCTCACAATTAAGTGTTTTACCATTTTATTTTCAGGACAACCAGGGCTACAAGTAGAACACAAAACAATTTGACATCAACAGTTGCATTCATGAGTTTTATTGACACATTTTCAATATAAAAATAACTGATACAAATGAATTTATATGAATGCTGTAAGTGTTCCTAATGTTTTGTACACTCAGTGTATATTGAACTAAGAGTTGTGCAGAGTTAGTAGAACCTTATTCAAAATGATTTACAGTTGTAATTGCTGATAAAGGTGCTTCCACCAAGTATTGACTCTGGTGTGTGAAGACATACGCAATCAAGACATCTTTATTATTATTTATTTTTTTAAATAACATTTTCTATACTTTTTCTTTCACTTTGAAAATGTGGAGCAGGTTTTGTAGATCAGTAGGTGGAAAATCGAATTTAATCCCTTTTAAGATTTTATTTTAAAGCAGCAAAATGTGCAAGGGGTGTGTAGACTTTCACATTGCACTGTATCAAGCTTTTTAGAATAGGAGTGCTGATCTAGGATCAGTTTTGGCTTTTAGCTCATACTGAATCTGATTATTATAGACAGGATGGACCTCATCCTAGATCAGCACTTCTACTCTGACATGCTTAATATATATTGGCCCAGACTTCTTTATTTTTTTTTAAATGTAAGACTTAGTTACATATGTGTAGTAATGCATGCATACCATTTTGTCATTATATGTGTGTTGTGCTGCATTAGTTATTTCTCAGTGCTTTTAATAAGGCATAGATTGGTCTGGCTGCTGAAGACGCCAGCCTGACCAAATGGACCTGGGTGGATGGAACCCCACTGACCACAGAGTAAGATATTTGTTTCTGTCCACCTAGCCTATCAAAGGACAAGGTGGAGCTACTACCATATTGCCTATCCAATCCTTTTGGATCTAGGGATCGATTTGGGATTGGCCTATTTAACATCAGATATTTGTTATGATGTTTGTAGCTACTGGAGGGAGAGGGCTCCTGATAATTACGAAGAGGCAGTGGTGTTAATGTAGTTAAGTAAAAATACTTTAAAGTACTACTTAAGTAGTGGGTTATCTGTAATTTACTTTACTATTTATATTTTTGACAACTTTTACTTTTACTCCACTACATTCCTAAAGAAAATAATGTACTTTTTACTCCATACATTTTCCCTGACACCCAAAAGTATTCATTACATTTTGAATGCTTAGAAGTACAGGAAGATTGTTCAATTCACGCACTTAAAGTATTAAGAGAACATCCCTGGTCATCCCTACTGCCTCTGATCTGGTAGACTCACTCAACACCAATGATTCGTTTGTAAATGATGTCTGAGTGTTGGAGTGTGCCCCTGGCTATCTGTAAACAAAAACAAAAAAATGGTGCTGTCTGGTTTGCTTAATATAAGACATTTGAAATTATTTATACATTTACTTTTGATACTTAAGTATATTTTAGCAATTACATGAACTTTTGATACTTAAGTATATTTAAAACCAAATACTTTTAGACTTCTACTCAAGTAGTATTTTACTGGGTAATTTTTTTTGAGTCATTTTCTATTAGGTATCTTTACTTTTACTCAAGTATAACAATTGGGTACTTTTTCCACCACTGAGAAGAGGTGGCGGAGGACTCTGTGGAGATCTTGGTCAATCCTTTAGACCCCCTGGAGAGCTGGAATGACCTGTCCTGTGTCAACCATGAACGGCCCTGGATCTGCAAGGCTAAGGCTTGTCACAAGCCTTAACACAATATGAATATTTTGCTAATTTTGTAGAAAGGATGGTGAAACTGCTGTTTCTATGTTTTCTGTCTGTGTGTTTGCTATGTGTATGAGCCACAGGCCTGTAAGCCAGACACATTTCCATTCCTAAATAGAATGGACAATAACAATTTGAACTTTAACTTGAATTGCTGTATTTGTAGAGTATGTATTTGTGGTTTTACCTGTCCAGAACGGTGTCTAAAATGTAGTTAACCCAAATTCCATCCACAGTTTTTATTAGAGTAAAGTCATACTGTATAAAAAAAGGCTGAGGCTACGAATACAACGTTTTTGCCCCCGCCCCGTGGGTCTGATTAGCTTTTGCCAAAACAGTAGCTATTCTTCATGGGGTTCACATTTCTCTCCTTACTCACCCTCTTCTGAACCCTCAACCAATTTGATCGATATGATGATGTAGTCTATCTCTCAGCCTCATATTTCTTAACAGCTGCAATTTGAACGAATGTTCCAAAAACATATATGAAGGCTACAACCTTCTCTGTCTGTTGAAACTGATATTGCCAAAGCACAAGCAAGACACAGTCTACACATTCCATTGATGTCATCTGTATAGTTATGCTGCCATATAGCCAGCAGTCTGACTCCTGTTTAGCCAATGTTGCAATGATGATGGAAAAATAACATTAAATCACTATTGACTGCCTGTCTGTGTCTTGCTTGTTTGATAATGCTGTGTAGGCTACATAGGGTGAATTCAGAAAAAGTGGGACACTATGCATTTCCGTCTTCTGTAACCTCTTTCGACATCTATCTATAATATCCCAACATATGATACATTTATGAAATCCTCAAGATGTTTCCTAATCACACAAAAAGGCAAAATGTTGATCTAATATTCACAGGAGTCAAAACCATATTTTCAGTTTGTGGGACAACATTATTCTTCTTTTTCTAAGAAACATTAACGTGTTGAAAATTCCAAATAGTTTACATAGTCAACTTACACACATCTCTGACACGCACACTTACCTCACAAGACATGCCACCAGGGGTCTTTTCACAATCCCCAAATCTAGAACAAATTCAAGAAAGCGTACAGTATTATATAGAGCTATTTTTACATGGAAGTCCCTTCCATCTCATACTGCTCAAACGAACAACAAACCTGGTTAAAAAAAACAGATAAAGCAACACCTCACGGCACAACGCCTCTCCCCTATTTTACCTAGATAGTTTATGTGTATGTAGTGATATGTAGGCTACCTGTGCCTTTTTCAAAATTGATGTAGTTATGTACTTGAGCTGTTCTTGTCTATTAATGTTCTGTATTATGTCATGTTTCATGTTTTGTGTGGACCCCAGGAAGAGTAGCTTCTGCTTTCGCAACAGCTAATGGGGATCCTAATAAAATTGTACCCCAATGAAAATTCAATTCACACTTTGTTGTTATATGATAATAATATAGATGATAATATTGAGGATTTCAGAACTGTATCATGTGTTGGACTAATATCTTGGATAGATGTCGAAAGAAGTGTCTCACTTTCTCTAAATTCACCCTACTATATTTCTGTTAGGTGCCATTGTACTCTGCAATACATGTAAATTAAACAGGAAAATAGTACAACAAGAACCAGAGCCCTGCCTAACCTAGGTACAGGGGGTCCCTAATGTAAACTGGATCTCTTTCCTCTATTGGAAAAGCCTATAAGATTGTCCCACTTTAGCTACTCCATGATGTCCTACTTTAGCTAGCTATGGTTGGTAAAGTGGGACAACTACAGTGAGGGAAAAAAGTATTTGATCCCCTGCTGATTTTGTATGTTTGCCCACTGACAAAGACATGATCAGTCTATAATTTTAATGGTAGGTTTATTTGAACAGTGAGAGACAGAATAACAACAAAAAAATCCAGAAAAACGCATGTCAAAAATGTTATACATTGATTTGCATTTTAATGAGGGAAATAACTATTTGACCCCTCTGCAAACATTACTTAGTACTTGGTGGCAAAACCCTTGTTGGCAATCACAGAGGTCAGACGTTTCTTGTAGTTGGCCACCAGGTTTGCACACATCTCAGGAGGGATTTTGTTCCACTCCTCTTTGCAGATCTTCTCCAAGTCATTAAGGTTTCGAGGCTGACGTTTGGCAACTCGAACCTTCAGCTCCCTCCACAGATTTTCTATGGGATTAAGGTCTGGAGACTGGCTAGGCCACTCCAGGACCTTAATGTGCTTCTTCTTTAGCCACTCCTTTGTTGCCTTGGCCGTGTGTTTTGGGTCATTGTCATGCTGGAATACCCATCCACGACCCATTTTCAATGCCCTGGCTGAGAGAAGGAGGTTCTCACCCAAGATTTGACGGTACATGG